GACTTCGCCCTGTCTCAATCCAGCACTGAAGTCCTGGTTCATGCATTCGTCACATCCCATATTGACTATTGTAATACCATGCTCTCAGGCCTTCCCATCAAACTCCTCAATAAACTTCAAATCATTCATAACTCTGCTGCCCGGATCATCACCCGCACCAAGTCCTCTGACCACATCACCCCCATCCGTCTGCATTGGCTACCTGTAAAATACTGGATAGACTTCAGTCACGTCACGCAGCTTTCCCCTGAGAGATTTCTACGGGGAGAAGCTCAGCTAAAATATTACATGTACAGCACTTTGGCCCGACCAAAAATCGCTTTTAAATGTGCTTTATAAATAAACCTTGATTTGATTTGATTAAACGCTGCGGTGATTAAATGCAATGTTATGCTCCTAACCACTTCAAGCTTTATTTCTGAAACAGTATGGAGCTCAAACCTTTCTCTTTACCACAAGGGCATTACGTTACACATATTCTCTCCAGTAGCCTACAGCGTTAGCTCCATGGTTAGCTCTGAGTGTTAGCATGCTTGCTAATGTAAACACACAGCGTATTACTCCCAAAACACGCTGCGCATTGTTTCTGATACAGCACATAGCTTGACATGTTCTTTCTTAAGTGTTTACCGCTAGAACAGTGCCATTATATGTATTATATATAACAACTTTACTCTAAGCCTCCAGCAGACATCCTGCTGAATACACAGACACACAGCGCTGTGACTGTATACAGAGACGATAGGTTGGGTCGTGTCACGTGTGCCGGAGAATATAGGTTGGGACGTGTTACGTGTGCCGGAGATGATAGGTTGGGACGTGTCACGTCGGCCGGATGTCGCCAATGACGTTATAGGAGCGAAAATTCTGGATCTGCTTGTTAGCACCCTCCTTTTTTAGAGAGAGGTGTGGGTACGAAGGAAAAGAGAGAGGGTTTTGTTTACTGACACTTTGTGAGTTCCCTGACACACCGGGGACACATATTTATGTATAACAGACATCAAAAAGTGCATTTTGCATAGTATTGTAGGTCCCCTTTCAATTAATCATCATACTAAAGTGGATACTAAAGTAATGATAATGATAACTTTAGATAATGTCTAAAAGAATACTCTGTTACAGTAAAAGTCCTGCATTCAAAATGTTTCTCAAGTAAAAGTAGAAAAGTATTATCATCAAAATATAGTTAAAGCAGCAACAGTAAAAGTAGTCATTGTTCAGATTGTCCATTTCAGAATAATATATATGATATGTTTTATAATGATTGATCATGAAAGTGTTGTCAAAGGCTGGTATATATATATTTATATTTGCTTATGACTGCTCACCTCACTGGTCCCCTGTGTACAACAAAAGGCTGTGGTACAATCTGATCAGAGCCCTCCTTACTGCAGTCTGTCATTATATGTGTTTATAATGTTTTAACACACCAAAGAAGAGGACTATTAGGTGTGAATGCAACCTTAGTTTCCTGAAAGAGTGAATACTTAGGACATAACACAGTATGGCTTATAATACTGTTTAATACACAAGGGAGGTATCAAGACTAGAAAGCAAAGACAGAATATGGTATGTAAATGCATGAAACAATGGGAATGGCTGTGAGGGATGCAGGAGGAGCAGGGCCATGCAGGGACAGCAGGACCAGGGACAGCATTGGGAGGCCTAAAGATGGGAGCCACATCCATACAGCAAGAAAGAAACACCAACCACTCACACAGACAGAGGGCAAAAGGGTTAGTAACAAAACAACATGGGAGAAGAGAAGAAGGTGAGGATTTAAGGAACTGAGAGAGACATCTTATTGTTTTCAACTTGATAAATAGTTACATTACAAGGCTCGATGTAGACAATGCTCCTTTTCATAAGTTTATCGCGATCTGTCCAAACATTCGGCCAAAAGGCTTCATATTTTCCACTGCCAAAACTCATAGCTCTGTTGCCACAATTACGAGTAACGTCAGGTGTGCAGTGGTGGGAAAAGTACTCAGATGTTGTACTTTAGTAAAAGTAGAAGTACTCAGATCTTGTACTTGAGTAAAAGTAGAAGTACTCAGATGTTGTTCTTTAGTAAAAGTAGAAGTACTCAGATGTTGTACTTGAGTAAAAGTAGAAGGACTCAGATCTTGTACTTGAGTAAAAGTACTCAGATTTTCTACTTCTTCGTAAACTCTTTAAAGTAGCGACAGTAAAAGTAGTCATTGTGCAGATTGGTCCATTTCAGAATAATATATATGATATGTTTTATAATGATTGATCATTAAAGTGTTCTCAAAGCTGGTAAAGGTGCAGCTAGTTTTAATTACTTTGTATACTGCAGGGTAGCTTGTGAATTTACTCCAGGTGGAACTAAAGTCTGATTTAAGACTTGATTATATTTCCATTTACCTCTGAAATGCAGTGGGGTAGGAGTACAAATTATCATAACTGGAAATACCCAAGTAAAGTATAAGTACCTCAAAATTGTACATAAGTACAGTACTTGAGTAGATGTACTTAGTTACTTCCCACCTCTTGAGATGCTTCTCACAGCAAATATTGCTATATCTGATTTATTAACATGAATTTAGATTAATTAATCACAAAGCATATAATTCATTAGATTAATATTTGTAATTGCTTGACAGCCATAGTTTTAACACACTTCCAGAAAATAAACTAGAACAATATGTTCCAGCAATTATCTTATATTAAACTTTAATTTTTAAACTCAACATTTACCAATAATATATTTTACAGTAAGGTTAGGGGAAAAATACTATTGCGTATTTTATAATAAAGACTCCATTTTGTATAATAGCGGACATTTTAATTTTTAATAAACTTAAGCACATCACTACTATGCTTTGGGAGGCATATATCTTCTTAAATCTTCAGAAAATAATTAGTGATTAATAATTCTTAACTGATAATGCACAGTATGCAAGTATTTTATATCATGAATTGTGTTGATTTGTCATTTATATTTAATTTGTAACCTCTACATGGTTGACATGTAGCTGGTAACAGGCTTCTGTCAGGTCACCTGCAACTATATTTCCACCTCCTTCCTTACCCCTCCCTAGTTAAGCAATGTGACTGCAGTGACCAATCAATCAGAAAATGTGCAGTACAAGTAGATGCAGTACATGTGTGTGTCCTCTAGTTGGAGCCCAAGAGCACAGGAGAAAACGACCATTTCCGTAGTTACTATTCTTGTTGGGACTTTGGCTGAAAATTACACAGCATGTTGTTCAGGCCTTCAGGGGAGTATTTCAGCATTGTTTTAGTGAGGACCACCCAAAAGGTCCTCACAACCAAAAATGTCCTCACAGAACGAGTTGTTTCTCAATAAGTGGTCCTCACAAGTATAGCCACACACACACACACACACACACACACACACACACACACACACACACACACACACACACACACACACACACACACACACACACACACACACACACACACACACACACACACACACACACACACACACACACACACACACACACACACACACACACACACACACACACACACACACACACACACACACACACACACACACACACACAACACACACACACACACACACACACACACACACACACACACACACACACACACACACACACACACACACACACACACACACACACACACACACACACACACACACACACACACACACACACACACACACACACACACACACACAAAAATGTGGGCGGGCGTTACACCCACGGGCCAATCAGAAACGTTGCTGTCAGAAACAATGAGTGTTCTGTAAGTAATATGGTCTGTGTTTACATTAGCATGCTCAAGGCTGCGTGCTCAGCCCTCTCCTCTACTCCCTGTTCACCCACGACTGCGTGGCCACACACAGCTCCAACACCATCGTGAAGTTTGCTGATGACACGACCGTCATCGGCCAGATCACAGACGATGACGAGACGGCATACAGAGAGGAGGTCGAAAACCTGACATCTTGGTGCCAGGAGAACAACCTCCATCTCAACATCAGCAAAACAAAGGAGCTGATTGTGGATTACAGGAAGCAGCAGGGAGAGGGACACGCCCCCATCGCCATCAATGGGACTACGGTGGAGAGAGTCAAAAGCTTCAGGTTCCTTGGGGTCCACATCACTGAGGACCTGACATGGTCTCTTCACACCACCACCATCACCAAGAAAGCTCGACAGCGGCTCTTCTTCCTCCGCAGGCTGAGGAGGTTCAAAATGGATTCCAGGATACTCTGCAACTTCTACAGGTGCACGATAGAGAGTATCCTCACTGGCAGCATGACGGCCTGGTACGGCAGCTGCACCGACCTCGATCGTAAGGCTTTACAGAGGGTGGTGAAAACTGCACAGCACATCACCAGGATGGAGCTGCCATCCATGGAGGACCTTTACTCCCAGCGGCTCAGGAAGAAATCACTACGGATTATCAAAGACCCCCATCACCCCAGCCACAAACTGTTCTTTCTGTTGCCGTCTGGCAGACGTTACCGCAGCATCCGGGCAAGGACAAGAAGATTCGGAGACAGTTTCTTCCCGCAGGCAGTGAGACTGTTAAACAATTGAACTGTTGAAACAACATCAAACATTCAACTGCTACTCAGTAGTATGTATCTAATACCTAATATATATATATCATTCCAATAACTTGTATATAGACTCATACTGCACTATTCCACATCATAACTTTATTTCATTTTTATAACTATTACTATTTTTGTATTGCTCTTGCTCTTATTGTTATTATGTTATGTTATTATGTTGCATTGTTGGAGAAGCCTGTGACATAAGATTTTCAAACTCAGAGCTAACCTGTACTGGAGAGAGTGTGTGTGAAGAAGCAGGAAATCAAAAGGAACTGATCTGTGATGATCTGTTTGGTATTTTGAGCAAAACACTTCAGTTTGTTTTTGAAATATGTTTATATATCTGAGACCTGTAATATATGCCTAAAAACAGCACAATCGGAGCCTTTAACCCCAGGTGTCCTCTCACCTGTTCAGGCAGTCCTGGCTCTCCTCAGTGTTCCTCAGCTTGTGATGAACCACGGCTCCCACAGCCAGAGGGCCTGCGTCTCCACACAGGAAGGAGACCTTACGCCCGTTCAGGATCCGGAGGGTTCGCTTCACGTAGTCCAGCGCCCTCTGCAGGTGGGAGGATTCCTGGGAGCAGCGGTGCAGCTGCAGGTACAGCAGGGCGATGCCTGCAGACAACACTCAGGAGTTAGATTAGTATTTACAGTCTAAGATAAGATAATAATAATAATAATAATAATAATAAACATAGACGGTCACATAAACACCTGAACTTTTGAAAGAACATCCATAACATTCATCTGTTTGCAACTCATAAATATCAATATTCCAATTACTTGTATATAGACTATTCTGCACTATTTCAATTATATTCTATTTTATTTTATTTACTTATAGACACAACTCAGGGATTAGAGACTTTATATTAGGACTTACAGTTAAATAACTACAAGAAACATAGAGGGTCACATAACAGGTACAGCAGGGCGATGCCTGGACACACATGTTATGGCAATGATGGTATCAAAGCTTATTACAGCGTAATCCTAATGAAATGTAACTGCTGTATCCTGGGAATGGCATATCAATGTATGTGTGATAACAGATGTGTTCACCAAGGGTTGTATGACTCTACAGGAAGGCCAGGGGGAAGAAATGTTCTCACTCTGTGCATAGCTGCCTTCATTCTGCTCCACTGTACCCTGTGACCTAAGGACCTTAGTCTTCCCAAGACTAACCTGTAGCCAATCTGGGGCATCTGAGCTTTGATCTCAGAAACTAACATGTCAAGCTCCTGGTCTGACATTGTACTGTATGACCCTGACACAGAAATTCCAAATTCCGCCATTCGACGGAATACTGTAACTTCACTGACTCCCAGCAGTTTGGCTACGCAAGGTATGGGCAACTGGGTGTCTATCAAGGCCTGTAACTTGTCCTGTTGAATGAGGAATTTGGGTCACCCCCTTGCCCCTTGCACTGCATGTATCTCAACAGATGGAATATGTTGCTCATTTTCCACCTGACGTCTAACCAGGTTACACAGTTCTCTAAGGGCATTTACTATATTCACTGGCAATTCTATCTGCTCTGCCAATGTGTCAATGAGTATTAATTCATGGGTGCACATGAAATCAAGATAGTCGAGGTCGACGTCAGTACGGCTGACCACGTACTGCATCTTGCTTTGCAATCTCTCCAAGATATGACGTCTAAGCAGGTTCTGTAGGAAAAGTAGGCAATAAATATAGGTACAGTTCATGTTACACAATTTATTGTGCATTTGTGCAAATGTAGTGAGGGCAACATATGATCTTACATTAAAAATGACATGAAGAAAACTGTATATTTCCCTTTTCCTAAACAATGAAATAAGAAACACATTTTGTTGTCAGTTGCCTAGCAACAGTGTTCACGTAACGTACAAGCCAATTATTATCATAGATGTGCCGCAAATATGACTACCAAATACATTTGAAGGAAGTAACGTTAACGTTAATAGTACCATTAAAATAAAAAACTTACTTGGGGTCCTTGACTTTGCTCCATGTTGGACATGGGACGTCCGGTACAGAAGTGGGGCCGGTCGGAAAATTCACTAGCAATTCCTGGGCTGATTTTTAGTCCCAGTCCGCCACAGAACGTAGCTATTATGTAAGGTGCTGGTATATATATATACTAACTGTGCTTCCCCCCCCTAAAAGTTGTAAATTAAACAAGTGAAGTCCATGTTATGTTATAAAGCCGTGGAGGGCGGTAGTTTATAAACCAAAGAGTAACCGCCCTTACGGGACGCTCTAATAAGTAAAGCGAACGCACCCGCAAGGACAACTGGCCTCCTATTGGTTGAGGGATTTTGACAGGGTTGTTGCACAAAAGATCCGAGCGCGCACAGAAGAAATCTGAGAGCAGACATTTCACGAGCGCACAGAAACAGCCTGAGTGCGAGGAGAAGGTTTTAAGCTGGAACACAGGAAATCTGTAAGCAGCAATATATCTGAGTGCAAGCGTACAGTTTGAGCAGAAGCAGAGCAAATCTGAGTGTGAGGACAGGGTTTGAGGGAAAGAAATACATAATCTGAACGTGAAATCAATAAAGTATGCTCTCAAATTTAAATACCACGCTCTTGAATAAAGATAGGGAATAACCCCCATAACAGTCCAGCCGTGAAGACATCTACGAGACAGTTTTGAGATTTCTTCAAATGCAGTTGCCATGGCAACACAATGCTCGCCATGAAACACGATGTCGCTGTCACGGCACGTCCACACAGCAGCGTTAAAAAAATCTTGGAACGCTTCTGCCCATTCACTTTGAATGGGGTGACGTAAATTTGCCTCACTTTTCGCCGAACTGCATTGTGGGCAGCAGAGCGGAGATTTTCAGGATTTTCAGGATTCAAAGTTGAGCAATGTTCAACTTTTGAAGCTGAGGTGGAAGCGTCAGCCAATCAAATCCCGTGTATGCAAATCTGACAGTTCAAGCGCTAGCCAATCAAACCGCGTGTATGCTGGGAGAGACATACCGCAGGTCATTTCCTCATATTCCAAAAAATGGAGGAGAAATTAGCGGTAGGGAATCACCCGGTGCTTTATGACCAGTCCCTATTTACCTACCGGGATACAAACCGGAGGAGCCAGGCATGGAGGGAGGTGGCAGAGACAGTGGTAGGTTTTCGCCTGTTTGGAGAGTTTATATCCAGTTTACTTCGGGCTTTTTTGCTTCGTATGTCAGGGGCGGGAGATTCATGTGATTGGTTGTTGGTCGCAAAAAATCCCCAAGCTTCAGATACGCCCACCTCCAAGATTTTTTTAACACTGCTGTGTGGACGGGCCGTTAGTCCAATGGACACGGTCCGATCGTCCCCCAATCTTCACCTGTATATCACCGGTCCATGCCTCAACAGCTCTACTCCAAATCTGAGATCTCACCATATGCCGTTTCCATGGAAACGCATCCCTCGCCATAAAAGACGATGTCGCTATAACTCCTATGAAAATGTTCAAAAAATGCTCAAACTTCACATGTGTGCTAACAGTCCAGCCGTGAAGACATCTACGGGACAGTTTTGAGATTTTTCAAATGCCGTTGGCATGACGACAGATCATTCACCATCAAGTTAGTTCAAAGGTTTGCAGTTCAAATATTCTGCTGCTTTTCCAAGCCTTTTTACTCTCTTTTCTTCTCTCATCACACGTTCAAGCCCCCAGTGTTCATGTATCATTTCAATCTAAATTCTTCACTTTCTTCTTACACATTACATTTCAGCATAAAGCATTCCCACTAGCAATTTCTTCAGGAATTGCATTCTCTAGTTCACAATAGATATTCATCATAATATACTTTCATCATCCATGTATCTGCTTGAAGAAAAACAGAGGCAACAGCTAGTGATTCAGAAAGATGCTAAGTATAAAGCTAAGTGGTAATCATGGATGTACCTCTCTGTTGATGTTGGGTTTGTTCGAGGGCCCAGCATTCCTGGTGTCAACGTGCTCGCTCTCAATGGGACCATCAGGGTTGGAGTCTCTTGTCACAGGCGCCTGAAAATATATCACCATTAAGGACATTTTAAAATAGAGAATAAAACCATAGAATTTCATGCAATCACTACATATTATAAAATAAGACTAATGCATTTTCTAAAAGGAAACATCTAAATCTAAATGCATGTCAACAAACACCAGACTTCAGAGAGAAAGGCCCCCCACCCATTAAATACTGTACACTAATGGCGCGTTTCCACTACAGCGCGGAGCACGGTTTAAGAGGGCTGTGACGTCAGCGGCCCGTCTTAGGTTGCGTTTCCACTTGGCCTAGTACCGGCCGGCGGGTCCCAATTCACAGTTTTTCTGGCCTCATAAAATCGTGGGTCTAGGGCCAGAGACAACGAGGCTGAGTCGGGCTGAGTATGCTAAACTAGAGAGAGCATCGCTGGCAAGGGGGCTACAACTACAACAAGATGGACATATTTGACCGTGATTTAATTGTAATACACGTTTCAAAATGATGCCGAAGTAACAACATACTGATACCGGTTAGTAAAAACCATGAATTAATACTTTGTCAAGTCGGCAGACAGACGGCAGGCAAAAAAACTTTTAAAATGCGTGTTTTCTAAATGGAGATTGGCTAAGCTAACGCAGTATATGCTCCAACCGTCCACACTCACAACAACGGCCTATACAGACATAAATAAAGCAGCGACTATATTCGCCATGACACAGGCAGTCTGTGGTTTGTACTTGTTTAACTTTTGTCTAGTTTCTGAACATATATGACGAGCTGTGAGCTCTGAGTGCTAACAGCTAACGGCTGTGTTGTTTTTCTGGGGTTCTCATTGAAGATGACGTCACGGCTCCGCCTACACTGCGTTACTATAGATACTACCCCAGTTCCTAAACTGTAATGGGAATGCGCCATAAAGTGAGCCAGTCCTAACGAGGCCTAGCCATACCGAGCGAGGCCGAGCGAGGCCGTGTAGTGGAAACACGCCATTATGCTACCTTAACCTCGTCTTTCTCACACACTGAATACAACCAGCTTAGTGGGGACATTTCACACACCATGTTGTGGTCACTTTTGGGGACCAAGTGTCTCTAGTTTGTGATACACTTAACACAGTTTCTACTCAGGATCAGATGTAAGGCGTGTTGTGGGGACGTCGTAGGTATCCCAGAAAAGTGTGATTTTTAATCAAAAGGAATGTCAGTTTAAAGCCCAAAGTTTGTCCTAAATATTATATTAACATTGGCCTTATAAAGGGAATTGAGAAAACCGCTCGGAAGTACTTATTCACAATAGATATTCATCACAATATACTTTCATCATCCATTTATCTGCTTGAAGAAAAACAGAGGCAACAGCTAGTGATTGCTAGTCTTCTTTGCAGTTCCTTATCATTTATAAGGTCCCCTCTGTACTCCAAAATAAAATCTCCTGTGGAAAACTGACCATGGGCAACTATACCACGTCCTGCTAGACAATATATGACATTTTCAATGAAAGGGGCCATTAGAATGATGAGTCTGTGGACTATATGTAATTCCAAAAGAAATGTGGAGATAAAAAGCGACTAACAGTTACACGATTTGATTATGTTACAATATAATGATGAACACCTTATGTAGCATCCTCTTACCTTTCACTGCATTGATGTATTTCACATCTAATCGGACATTCTGTTGGGCATCCTTAAGGGGACTGACCCTTGGTGGCATTTCCAACTGCAGAGAAAGGTTACAAAAATTAGATGGCTTTTTTAAATTCTTGTTCATCATTCCAAACTGTGCTAGCTGCAAAAGCATATCACACACCTAAGCACCATGCAAATACACGTTAACAGCTAGGCTATGCACAGACTCTATCACTACTTTACATCACAAACCATTACTTTAATTTTAGCATGATATTTGATCATTTGAATGAATCAAGCCTGAGCCCTGAAGAAAATAAATCTGCTTGAGTAAATAGCATGGGTGGTGGGGGAGGGGCACAGACATGTGCGTCAGTATTTTGCTAGCAGTCTGAAGGCGGTTATAAACCAAATTAATGAACTTTTATGTCTGAATCATTAATTGTATTACACTGGCAACATATATTGTTACTTACAATAAATATATAGAGCCACTCCTTTGGAAAACGTGATGAAAACAAGCGTGGACTTGAAGCTAACTGTGACATGGTATGGTCCGCTTTAGGGGTGGAACGTACCATTTTAACGTTTACAACTTAAAGGTAGGGTAGGTAAGTTTGAGAAACCGGCTCGAGATACACTTTTTGTTATATTCCATGGAATGCTCTTAACATCCCGATAGCAATGAATATCTTAAGTGCTTTGACAAAAAATCCATAAAAAAATGTCATCTGTGGAAGCCGTAATACTGTAAAAAGCACGACCAATCATTTTAGCCGGCCCGGCTAAAATAACTGGATGGCCTACCTGCCTGTCAGCCTTCCATCTGTGCACAAACTTATCTCGTGCCCTCATTGGTCATGTGCGCGTTCGTGTGTGTTGGAGGAGGGGCTCTGTAAGGAAGTGGCAGATTTACTCCGGTTGTGTATTTTCAAATTCTAGCGATCTCGAGCCGGTTTCTCAAATGTACCTACCCCACCTTTAATTTTAAATATAGTTTATAATTGATTAATAATGCCTGATATCATATGAAACTAGGATGGGGACTTAACAATCGTAATTAAACGTCATACTTACTGAACACACTGCTCGCTCCACTCCTTTATGCAGTCTGTCCTCATTAGCTCTTCAATGTTTTGCACCTGCACGCAGGCAGCTAAACAGTCAAGCTAGATGGGAGGAATCTGAGTACAACTTCCTGTGCACTTTCAAGTTAAAACCGGAAACCACATTTACACACAGGGATCTTTGCTTTTTTCAGTGTAAAATTGCGCCGCAGCCCGCACTCTCGGGGGAATATCTCCGCAACGGAACGAGTTTAAGTTTCACTTTCACTTGCAAGATATAGCCCAGCGCCACACATTCATCAGACATTTTGAAGCTTGTTTGTACCATTTTCAGGCGATTTCTAATCTATTTTAGAAAAACTATGTTTTTTCAAGAAGCGTATAAACAAACAATGGATGTCTTTCAGCGGCGGCTGGTGGAAAATATTTTAGGTGGGGCTGTGGAAATGGTGATCAAACAATACTAGAGGGGTCCGGGGGGATGCTCCCCCGGTAATTTTTTTTGAGAAAAGACCCCTTAAATCATGACTTCTGGTGATGTTAGAGGGGGGGAGAAGGACAATTTGAGGCTTAAAAATATGAGAAGACTGATCAATACCTCCATAACTTCAGTGTGGTTAGCTATGAATCTTCCAAAACTTCCAAACACCTTGTCCTGGACATAGTTTCTACAGCATAAACTGTGCAACAGTACAGTAGGCCCACACAAACTGCAGAACACCGGGGCTTTGGGAACACTGATTTAATTCCCAATTAACCTGTTAAGGGGCTTTTTTCCCCCGTTTTTTTTCTCACGAAACTGTGTCTCAGGGCTTCTTAAAATGTAATAAACTATTCATGTGTCCTACTCAGAGGAAACGCATCTAACTGATGATATGAACCATGTTTACCGAAACAAAACACAAGTCTCACAAGAAGCGTCTAAATGAGCCCTGAGCGAAAAAATGCTAACGCACTCTAGGTATAAATTGTTACGATCTGTCTGTGTTGGGTTTTTTCTTGTCTTTTTCTGTCTTTTGTTTCCTGTTTTGTTTTGAAAAGTGTTCACCCCTGTCCTGCCTGATTGCCCGATTGTGTTCACCTGGTGCCCCTGTGTTTTCTCCTCCCTCCTCACCTGTGTCTTGTTTGTGTGATTGGTCTTGTGTGTATTTTAGTTCTGGTTTTTCTGTCTGTCATTGTTGGTTCATTGTTGGTATTTGACTGTGTGTCACAGGGTAGTGTTCTGTGTTCTACTTCGTACCTTGAAATAAAGGAATATTCTTGGAGATCTGCATTTGGGTCCTGCCTGCTACTCAACCCTGACAGAATGAACCAACCAGAAATGGGCCCAGCAGATCCATTTGAGGTGGAATTACAACATTTTACCTTTTCTTTGGCTTGCTGCTATAGTAGGTGGAGGGGAGCGTCCAGTGTTCAGCAGAGAGAGGCTGCTCTGGCAGAGGCTCACCAGGTGGCAACAGGGGATCCATCTCTAGTTAAGTTCTTACCTGACTGGATTTTGGATTTCCTCTCGACGTGTGATTCCCAGCCTGCTAGCCCCAGGCATGCTAGCCCCCTGCCTCCCAACTCCCAACCTAACACCATACATCTCGGTGTGTTCCGTCTGAAGTCAACCCCTGCTTCTTCCCCATTTCCTGCTCCTGTCCAGGAGCCGTTCGCGGGCACTCGTCTGGCTTTTGGAGGTCCACGGAGCCTCCAAAAGGCTCCTAGGAGAAGGAGTCGCAAGTCCAGGCTAGCAGCCCGACCCCCAGAAGCCATGCTTTGGGCTCCAGTACAGGCCCCAGCAGCCATGGTTCCGTCTCCAGAACCGGCCCACACAGCCATGGTTCCAGCCCCAGTTCTGGCCCCAACAGCCATGGTTCCTGCTCCAGAACCGGCCCATGCAGCCATGGTTCCAGCCCCAGTTCTGGCCCCGGCAGCCATGGTTCCGCCCTCTGTTCCGTTCCAGCATGCCATTTCTCAGGAACATGAGCAGGCGTGGCGAGACTTTGAGGAAAGCCAGCGGTCCTTGGCTCTATGCTTCCCGGGCCTCGCTGCTCGGGTCTCGACTTTGACGTCTGCTGCTGCATTTCCTGCCTCCTCCAGTCCACCTGTGGATTCCACTCCAGCCCCTCCGTGTCCTGTCGGTGTCCTTCCCGACTCCAGCACACCGTCTCCTGTCGTGGTCCGGCCGACTCCAGCACTCAGCACCCGTCTCCTTCGGTGTCCTGGCCGACTCCAGCACCCGTCTCCTGTCGGTGGTCCGGCAGACTCCAGCAACTCGTCTCCTGGCGGTGGTCCGGCCGCTCCAGCACCCCGTCTCCGGTCGGTGTCCCGAGCCCGACTCCAGCACCCCGTTCCTCCTGTCGGTGGTCCCGGTCCGACTTTCCCCCCCTTTTACGCCCAGACCTCGTGTCCTGTCGGTGGTCCGGCGACTCCGCCACCCGTCTCCTGTCGGTTGGTCCGGCCGACTCCATTCACCCCTCTCCTGTCGGTGGTCCGGTCCTACCCACACCCCGTGTCCTGTCGGTGGTCCGGCCGACTCCCGGTGGTCCGACTCCAGCACCTCGTGTCCTGTCGGTGGTCCGGCCGACTCCAGCACCCCGTCTCCTGTCGGTGGTCCGGCCGACTCCAGCACCCCGTGTCCTGTCGGTGGTCCGGCGACTCCAGCACCCCGTGTCCTGTCGGGTGGTCCGGCCGACTCCAGCACCTCGTGTCCTGTCGGTGGTCCGGCCGACTCCGCACCCCTCGTGTCCTGTCGGTGGTCCGGCCGACTCCAGCACCCCGTCTCCTGTCGGTGGTCCGGCCGACTCCAGCACCCCGTGTCCTGTCGGTGGTCCGGCCGACTCCAGCACCTCGTGTCCTGTCGGTGGTCCGGCCGACTCCAGCACCCCGTCTCCTGTCGGTGGTCCGGCCGACTCCAGCACCCCGTCTCCTGTCGGTGGTCCGGCCGACTCCAGCACCTCGTGTCCTGTCGGTGGTCCGGCCGACTCCAGCACCCCGTCTCTGTCGGTGGTCCGGCCGACTCCAGCACCCCGTCTCCTGTCGGTGGTCCGGCCGACTCAGCACCCCGTGTCCTGCGGTGGTCCGGCCGACTCCAGCACCCCGTGTCCTGTCGGTGGTCCGGCCGACTCCAGCACCTCGTGTCCTGTCGGTGGTCCGGCCGACTCCAGCACCCCGTCTCCTGTCGTGGTCCGGCCGACTCCAGCACCCCGTGTCCTGTCGGTGGTCCGGCCGACTCCAGCACCCCGTGTCCTGTCGGTGGTCCGGCCGACTCCAGCACCTCGTGTCC